AAATAGTTAATTTGATACTAATATCGATATATTTTTGTCAAATTTTATTGATATCTTCAAACATATATTTTATTCAAAAATAAAAACATCATCAATTTCTCAAAATCACATAAAATCATATTATAACATCGACTGAGATAAAGAATAAAATGAAATATTAAAATCACGATGTATCTCGCTGCATTGCACGAGTACGCTTCTAGTCATGACTAATATTTGAATTATATACAAATCTTTTAAATTTAAATTAAATAGATAATTATGAAATATAATTTAAATTAAATAGATAATTATGAAATATTTTTTATCACAGGGATATATATATATACGTACATACATGTATATATATACCACCATCCATACTGCGTTCACTCCGTACATCATAATCATTCTCTCTTTTCTGAATCTTCGCTCTGAATTTCAAAAATGGTGATGAATAATGAGGATATACGTACGATTATTGGAATCATCGGTATGATTTTATCTAATCTCTTCAATTGTTTGTGTTAATAAGCTGTTCGGTTGTTTCATGATGAATCAATTAACCGTTTATTTACATTTACACATTGTGATCGATATATGTATAGAGAGGATTTTGATGTGTTGTTTCTAAGAATTTGTATATGTTTCTGAACGAAATTGGTTAGAGTTCCAAAAAAATCATTTGGAAACCGACATTAAATGCGCATGTTATGAGCATGTACCTAAATTTCATGAACTGGTGTGTATTGATTCGGTTAGATATGAGTGAAGAAAGTAATCGTGAAATTGTTGTTCTATGATATTGCGTGTTGTAGTGATTAGAAGCTCGATAGAACAACGATCTGACTGTTGGTATTGTTAATCGATGCGTTATCTGGTTGATCAACTTTGCTTTTGGTTTGGGATAGTTTTAGACGGAATTAAATGAAGCATTCAAAATTTTGGATTTCTAGTTAGCTAATTAATTGATTGCTATTGATATGATTCATCTGTTCGACTTCTGATTACAAATTCGTATTGATGTTCCATGCGTTTACTTTGTTTTGTTGTTCGATCGATTTTCTCTCCGCAGGGAATGTCATCTCTTTCTTCCTGTTCATCTCACCAGCGTAACCTCCCTTTCTTTTCATGATCAACATCATATACGTTAATTTGTTGTTTGTGTATGTATTTTTTAATATGAATGTGATACTGATATGAAATCAAATTGATAAAACTTGTAGGCCTACAATTTGGAGAATCTTCAAGAACAAATCGGTAGAGGAGTTCTTGCCAGATCCTTATATAGCATGTGTTATGAACTGTTTGCTATGGATCTTCTATGGTATGCCGTTTAATCATCCTGATAGTACCCTTGTGGTCACTATTAATGCTACTGGTCTAGTTTTGGAGCTCATCTATCTCACTTCATTCCTCATTTATGGTAAAAATTCACACAGGGTATGTACTTGTTCGTTTGTCTTTATCACATGCTGGTTTCTGATCATTTGCCGGTCTATATTATACATGTATATCTAATGAATTTTGTTGTTCTTTGTGTATTGCCTACCTACAGAAGAAGATCATAGCGTGGTTAGCTATCGAGCTTGTTGGCCTTGGTGCTATTGCAGGTCTTGATTTGGGATTTTTCCATACCCATGCTAGCAGATCCAATTTTGTTGGAATCTTCTGTGTGGTGTTTGGTATCATCATGTATGGTTCTCCTCTAACTATCATGGTATGTGTTCTTTATTGTTAACCCATTCTCAATTTTTCAAACTCTTTTGATTCCCATCTCATAGATGTATATCTCTGAAGGAAATTGGTGATTGATTTTTTTGCTTCCTGTTTCTTCATCAAAATCAACAGTGGAAAGTGATCAGAACTAAGAGTGTTGAATACATGCCATTCCCACTTTCATTGGCTGCTTTCTTGAATGGTTGCTGCTGGACAACTTATGCTCTCCTCAAATTTGATCTCTTCATTCTGGTATAACATCTTTCAAACTACAATTTGCACCATTTTTCCACAACATATGTCTAAACCTCCCTCCTTTAATTTATTCTACAATTCTTTTGAAGATTAATTTAATATGATTTCACATAATAACATAGTACCATAGCAACATAGTAACACTATACCGAAGTTAAGGTATACTGGTCTAAGGACTTGACACTAGTGAACAATAATAGGCTTTTAGATTGGACTATTTCTCCTCCATATATGTTGTAATCTTTGTTCTTTTTTCAAGGGTTTTTTGCACTCTCTTTTGGAGAGAAATTTAATGAATGGTCGTTCCAATCTTTTTGAAGACTTCTTTATATCAGTATGTTATTTTAGAAATTTTGGATATGGGATAATGTTGCTAAAGCATGGACCCAACTGAGTACCAAATTTTTGAAGGTCAATTGACATGCTAAGTAATGAACTTGTTAAAATGGGATTTCATACATCCTTGCATCTTTGATGGCAATCTTTGCGGTTGGTGTAATCAAATTGTTATGTTTTGAATATTTTTTTGTAGATTGCAAATGGTACTGGGGCAGTGCTTGGGTTAACTCAGCTTATTCTATATGCATGTTTCTGGAGAACAACTCCAAGGAAGAACGAAAGGCCACCATCTGAGGTACAGCTTCAAAATGTATAGACCATTATACATTTAATACTGTTTTCAGGAACCTATCTCATTCCTCCTCTTAATTTAGGTTTTCTAGGTATAATTGGATTTTGTTTTTTAATTAGGTTTTCAGATTCCGGATTTTGGTTTGTTTTGGTTCTTCGTCTTTTGAAACATTATTCTTGGATTTTTTAAGTTTCTAATGACTTTTATCATTTTGCTCTTCTTGGTGATTATTTATTCACTCAATTTTTGGTTTTTTATACCATTGTCACGTGTGATTCTAGGGGGTATATATATATATATATATATATATATATATATATATATATATATATATATATGGTTGAGTTCACATGAAATCAACATGTTTTTGTGAGACTCGTGAGACCATAATTTACACTTGAAGGTAAAAAAAAAAAGTCAAACCTTCACAGCAAAAACATTGTGAAGATTACTTTACAGTGTTTTGCTGTGAAGTTCAAGTATAAAAAAATGGTCTTACGGATCAAATAAAAAAAAATTGATCTCACTTAATCCCAAATTTATGTGTGTATTGATAGTTTAATAAGACAAGATCTTTATTCTTCCAAACACACGGTGTCCTTTGACATTGACCGATTGTTAAATATTATCAGATATTTATTTAATAATATAAATTGAGCTTCCATCCTCGTGGAGAAAGAGATGATAAAGGAAATATTTAGTGAATGACATCAAATCCATAAACAAAAGTTTTGAACTCAGATAAAAATTGTAATCTCAAATCTATAGGGATGAAATTTAACAAAATTATAGGGACAAGAAAGGTAATTTATTCTATATAATATATATATTCTATATAAAATATTTAATAAAATTCTTAAAAATCATTTTTTTTATATATAAAGTATTGTTTATTGATGTATATATCACTTAAAATTTAAGATTACAAGTAAATTGTGCATAAGTACAACTTATTAAAGTTTTACGTTTGAATTGGTGTAACTAACTACAGATAAATATAATTAAATAAAAGATAAACATTTTATTTTAAATATAAATTTTTTTAAATATAATTAAGATAGTCATTGACTTCTAACAAAATATTTATCTTTATAAAAAATTATATTATTAAAACTAGAAATGAAAAAAATGAATTAAATAAATACACAGAAAAGAAGAAATTTTAAATAATTAGTTTGATACTGATACCAATATATTTTTTTCCAATTTTTTATGATATTTTCATATTTATATTTTATTTAATTTAAAAATAAAAACATTATCGTTTTCTCAAAACCACATAAAATCGTATTATAACATCGACTGAGACAAAGAAAGAAATAAAATGAAACATTAAAACAGATATGTATCTCGCTGCATTGAATGAATACCCTTCTAGTAAAACAAAAAGAGATCAAACTTTTTTATAAAACTCCGACTAAAACGGGAATTCGATTGAAAAGTTGGTAAATTTGATTGAGAAGATAGACTAAAAAATTTCAAAAAGTATTTGATTGGGATGAATGTATTCTCAACTAATTTCATGGGGTTTTGAAAATGACAAACCGACAACCAGAGAGAAAAATACCCGATGACTTTAAAAAGATTCTAACTGACCCAAGACACAACCTTTTATTTACCGGTTAAGTAATCCCATCAAAAACATTTTTTTGAATTCGGTTTCTTAAAAACCACTTTTTACTATTCTTGTTGCACAAGCATTTATATATACTTTGATAATTGTACTATACAAAATATGTATATTTGATGATTGTACTATACAAACGGTTGACTTTACATGAGACTCGTAAGTCCACTTCCTGACTGTTGGATTTACAGTATCAGTATCTCATTGAACCTTCACATTTTTATATGTAATGTTCGACGAGATGAAGGTGATCCAACAGACATGAGATGGTTTCACAGACGTCACAGAAAGTGTGTGGTCTTACATGATCCAAATCAACAGTAAAAATAGTTTTTCAGACCCTACCTTTGTGTGGGATATAATACAAACAGTAAAAAGAGGTCCTAAGGGCCTCTCGTCCGATTGAAGCAGAAACATCCTTGCTGCTGCTGATCTCCGGGTATCATTCCTCCGCCCTTTGAAGTGTCGATGGCCTCCAACATCGCCACCACCTCATCCATCTCCGGCCGCTTGTCGGGATTCGCATCCCAACATCTCTTCATAACCGTTGCAACTGAGTTCGGACAGCAACGTGGTATCTCGGGCCTCAAATTCTGTAGTTAATTCACAACAAACTTATATCACTCTTTCGGGGTCTTCAACATGGATGCTTCGTTCCCAAAAAAAAAACAATCACGATGAATTTTCATTCTATATGTCTAATGCAAATGCTACACGTGAGATCCGAACCCATCAGATTACTGTTCAAAAGAGCCTTTGACGAAAGAGGTTCCATCATATATTGAGGAGAAATTGTTCAAGTCTAACAGATGTTATGAGCCTAATCCTCATTGAGACTATGTTAGAGCATCTTCAACAGGTATGCTATTTTAGAAATTTTGGGGATCTTGGAAAAATTTGCTCCAACAGCTATGTTATTCTCCTTTAAAATAGAGAAAAAAGGAGAGAGAATGAAGAAATCTCCAAATCTTGAAAAAGAGAAAAAAAAATATAACATACATGTTGGAGATGCTCTTAGCTCTTAACAGTTTGAGTGGATACACGAGTTTCTCAGGTAATCAAAAGGAAATCGAATAACTTCATTAGATAAATATTGCGCAAAATACAACAAAGTTTGGTTTAATTCTTATTTAGTGTAACAAATATCTTTTTTCTCGATCGTTGTAATAAAATTCAAAATTTACTATTTTGTACCCATTTTGACTTATAACCTATTGATCTATTAACATCTAATGACGTAGATACCCATTTAGGAAATATTTACAAAAGTGTAATGGCGGATAAATTGGCATCCATGTCATTGGATCTTACAAACCAATAGGTTACCGATCAAAATGGGTAAAAATGAGAAATTTTAAAACTTTGTTATATTGATCGAGAAGAAAAAAAAATCGTTAGTGCCTTTATCTATATAAGAACAATGTATTCCCAGGTGTGAAATGGGAGATAAGGAACTAAACAGAACTTTGTTGCATTTTGATGCGTTTTGCCCATAAATATTCGAGCACAAACTATGTCAACTTTGAACTTGAAGAGCAAGTGGTTTTAGGTAAGGTATGTGTACATCTTACCCTTTCCAGTCCCTACTCTGTGTCGGATTCGGGGCGGACCCACATGAAATGGTACGGTGGCACTCCACCGCTTCATGGTTCTATCATAAGGCAAAATATTACGTTTCTAAAGGGTGCCACCATATAGTTTTTGAAACTGAAATGTTAGCATAAGACTTTAATGGCTAAGATGATAAATGTTCTTGTCTTCGTACAAAAGGCCCAGGTTTGAGTCCCATAGTAGTCAAATTTGTGTTTTTTATATACCTCTTTTGTTTTTAAAAAATATATGTAGACTAGACTCGAACATGAGTCTCTTCTATGTAAGGAGAAAGAATCAACCAACAGACTTGTACTAATATTCTTAAGAAAATTAGATATTTTTTATAGTCAAATTGAACGACTACTTGAACATTAGATATTTTTTATAGTCAAATGGAGACAGGTTCTTAACGGCAGCGCTTACTAGGTTGGTTTGCTTTGGTTTACACGTTTCTTGCCGAGTGCTTCAAAATCTTAGATTATCGAACGTTAAAAAAAAGCATACCCGACCAAAGGGTCATTGACCTAGCAGTACTCGGGTTACTGGCAGCCCAGTCTCTCCAAAAAGTCAAAGGTTCAAACCTTACGAAAGGTGAGAAGGTGCGTCAATATCTATAGTAAATAAATATTATATACTTAAAAAGAAGCATACCTGACGGACCACAGCCGAAGTCACTTCGGAGAAACTAAGATCCGGATACGGCATGTCACAACAGTATATTTCCCATAGACAAATCCCGAAACTATATACATCGCATTTCCTGTTATAGGCGCTGCCGTTAAGGACCTGTCTCCATGCCGATTTCATTCAAACAGATGGTTAAGTTGATCTATAAACCAAGTCCTAAATTGAGAACCACAAATTAACTAAATACCTCTGGTGCCATGTAACCGAGGGTTCCGGTCTCACCAGTCATGTCATTCGGGTTCGATGCCTCTACTCGAGCAACACCAAAGTCCGCAATCTTTAAGGTCCGGGTCTTGTCCAAAAGCATATTTTCTGTCTTCACATCTCTGTGGACAATCTTCTTTGTATGAAGATAATTTAACCTACAAAGAATTGAGAAAACTACTAAAAGACCCATTATAGAGAGAGGAGATGTTCTATTCTTAAAAAAGTACTTAATAGAGAAGAGAGATTGCAACATATATTGAGTATAAATAATTTTTAGGGGCTTGGTTGGTTTTCATCAAGTTATGTATGGATAAAGATATTTGTATAGATCGGGAAAAAAAAATTTGGGAGGTTTTTTCATAGATGAAGGAGTAGCTCTTTTAAAACGAAAGAAGTAGGTTTGTAACAAACTTGACTTTCTACATGAAGCTCTTCCCTCAAAACTTATTGAATAAGCCACATTATATACAGGTTCGATGGTTCATGTCTAGCCAATGTGGGACTCACCGACACAAATGATTTCAAATTTATTGTAACAAAAGGGTATAGACACGCACCCTCTCGCAAGATCAAGTGCTAGTTGCATGACGACTTTAAAAGCCAGCTTCCTTCTTCGGTTTTTTATGAGGAAAGATTTCAGAGCACCACCGGGAAGGTATTCCACAACTACACAACAAGAGTTACGTGGCACGCCAAAATGACCGTTATCTGCCTGTATGTTTAGTTCTGACGTGCCCATGGTGGCCCCGATGAACTGCCAGAGAGAAACAAAGGAAAAGGAAAGCATAACCGCAAAGTTAAACCGAAAACACCCATGAAAAAAAATAAAGTAGCAATAACCAAGTAGAACAGAATGTTTCAGCCTGCTGATAAGAAGTTGAAACTAGTAAATGCACAAAAGGAATAAAGCATAAACCTGGAAGAGAAGTTGAAGTAATAAAAAAGGTCATATTGGCCCAGGTGCCTGGATGACCGGTAGATCCCAACCTTTAAGAGGTTACATATTTAAATCTTATCATATGTGAGATGTGTACGTGAGTATTTTATGTATTTATATATATATATATATATATATATATATATTATACTTGAACATAAAAGAAGTTGAACTAGGATCATGATGTTTTGTGGAACCCTTTTGAATTTGTTTCTAAAAGAGTACCCTTAAAGAGAAGGAATAAACCTGAGAGAAGTTGATCTAAGCATCATGATGTTGGCATTAAGGGGTTTGTTTACTAAATGCTAACGTGGTAAGTGTTTACCAGGTTTGAACATTACAAGGATTGAGAATTTTACCTGGTAAGACGATGACAAGGACCGGAAGTCTTTTGCAGTAAGTGAGAGTGACAACTCTTACTTGGTAAGTGCGTACCGGATAAAATTGTTGCATACGATGCCGTTTTAATAGACTAATATCTTACCTACTAACTTAAGTGAAAGTGTTGACTCTTACCAGGTAAGCGTCGGGTAAACAGCCCCTTCCTCTAACATTGTTAGGATATATGTGACCCATTTGAATCTCTATCTAAAAGAAACCATACAGTGATGGAAGAAACCTACGAGAGAAGTTGAACCAGCATCATGATGTATCATCAGGGGTCGTTTACCAAAGGTAACCAGGAAAACACTTGCCGGTGAGGCTAGCATGACAAGGGCCGACAATCTTACCGGTAAAAGACATGAAAAGGATCGACAATCATATCCAGTAACACTTTTAAGGTAAGATTATTGTTTAGTATGTCATTTTGATGGCCTATAATCTTACCTGGTAAGGAAGTGCGAACAATGACTACTGCTGGTAAACCTTTGGTAAACCACCCCTTATTCTAAAAATTGTTAGAATATTTGAAACCCTTTTGAACACCCCTCTAAACAACCATTATAAAAAGAGCATAGCGTCCTACATATATAAAGATTATTCTACAAATGGGATATAATTATATATTCATTGGAAGTAAAGAATGAAAGAAAAACTTTTACCTTAGTTACATTAGGATGGTCAAGTTTGTGCCACACAACAACTTCTTGGGTAAAAGCTGCTCTAAGTGAAGCTATTTCAGCATCTGTCCTGTGGCCTTCTTCACCCCAATCAAGAAGTTTAACTGAGGATAAAAAGCAGCTAGACTTCATTATCAAGAAATCTTACTCGAAAGTAGGGTTTAAAGGTAAAATGTACACATATTGAGGGGCAGATCTAACCTTAAGAATGTGATTGCAAGAAAAACCACTAAAATAATGGGGTTAAGTATCAAATCTTTTAGGACCTTAAATGTACAACTATAAGTTTTTCTGGGTAAAACTATAACATTAAAACTTCAGGGGTTTTTATGAAAAACTATGAAATAAAACTTTAGGTCATTATAGTATTTATTTTGTGATATCACTCCAAAAAATTCATGGATCTACCTCGCAACACACTTGTTTTATATCCCAACAAGTAGAAAGATTGTTTCCATAAAAATCTCATTTATGTAAAAGTGTGAGCAAACAACACCTTTTTTAGATTTTTTTTTATTTGTATTTTTATGGGTCCATTCTTGGAGGAGGGAAACATATGGCCTTATGCAAAACTAAAGCGAAAATAGAAAATTTAAGCTAGTCAACAAAGGTTTTGAATTTTTGACTGAGACTTTTCCCCCGTACTTACAGGTTATATCCGCGTTAGATCCGCCGCTGAGGGTGAGCACCGAGAAAAACGTGAAATTTTGGGTAAAATATGTTTAAAAAACATTGTGCAAAAAACGTAGTAAATAATTTTTGTAGAATAGGTGGTTGTTTTGTGATACATCAATATTTATTTTAGTTTTTTTTTATTCTCCAAAAAAAGCTATGATGACATACCCTAGATTTTTTGAGAAGACAAAACATAGATACACCTTTAATTCTCCTTCACATAATCTTTACATGTCAAACTCAAACCACGTGATAAAAAAGTTAACTTGAAGATTCAACTTAACACAAAGAGGCCAACTGTGGATCAGGTCCATCTCGTGAGTTAGACTTTTGGCACTAAAGTTTCTTTATAAGTGTAAATATTTTGATACTTTAACTTATAGGTCATGATTTCACATTCTGACTTTTATACTAGAGATGGATCTATAAAAATTTATAGTGAATACATAAAATAATTAGCATAATATAATATAAAATAAAATAAATATTAATTATAAAAATTACGGTTTCACTAAAAATGACATAAAAGTTTTTTTTACAACACCCAAGTGGTTCTTTTTATTTCTGCTTGTCGTTACCGAGAAATAAAAAGGGACTCGAAAGGATTTAAAATTGCAAGCTAATACTATATATAATGACATTAACAATAGGCTCCAACCACATTTTATAACAGGGGCAGACAGTGTGTGCTGTTTTTCACAAGTAGAACAATTTTTAGGGTATGAAATGTACACACGCTAAACATTGAGGGGTGATTCAGAATATTAAAAAAATACAAAGACATCACCAAAACCCCCAAAAAAACTTGAAATCAAGCGCAAAAAAAAAAAAAAAAAAAAAAAAGAACTCCTCAAAATCAACCAAAAACACGAAAAATAACTCCTCGAAAAATCGACCACAAACTTACAAAAATCTCTGAAAATCAACCAAAAATCCTTGAAACTGTGGAATTCAGTTAAAAACATATCGGCCAATTTTGTAGACCTTTGATGCACCGTGGAGCTGCTAGACAAAAATTCTAGCTGTTTTTAATTTTAGGAAACACAAAGTGAGCTAATCTTTTTCCATCACTTACCTAAATCCACCCGACTATTCCTTGGCTCGGCATTGGCAATGGTGTATGGGAAAGTTGTGCTTCATATAAATGATAGAAAGAAATTTTGCAACTAAAAAAGCAAAAAAGTAAAAGAAACACAAAGGAAAGTTCAAGAAGTCACGATCAGAGTCGTCTATCCTTCCCTCTTCATTAGGACAGCCAAAATAGGTCATCTCTAGTAATCTGAACGGCGAATGGTTGAATCGTAAGGCAAAATCTAAGAAAATAAACCATGAAATTGAGCAGATGAAGAAGAACTACACGTTATGAGTATATAGCCATAAGAAACACTTCTAATTGACAGAGAGAAGATGCTGCACACAAAGTGTTTGATAAAAATTCAACAAGAATAGTTTGTTAATTGGTATTCTAAGCAGCAAATCAAGGATGAAAACTGTAATATAAAGTAACACAAATCATACCTGCAACATCTAAGCCATCATAAACGCCGCGATGAACGGTACCAAAGGAGCCACGAGCTATAACAGATTTGATGACGAGTTTTGAAGGATCGATCTCCCAATCTTGCCTCCGCCGATTACTATTTGTATCAATCCTTAACCTAGAGGTGTTGTTTCCATCTCGATTTCCTCCTCCATCTCCATGTAATCCATGGTGATTGTGTTGAAGATGAAGATTATCAAGTTTTTGTTGATTATAAGAAGGATTAGTACTGAAATTAATGCCGCTAATGGTGAGATTGATGCTAGTATTCTTGTCGAAACTTCTTGTTCTTCTGGTACCGGTGGTAGCAGCGGCGGTGGTGAGATGCCTCTGTAATTGTTCGTCTAAGCTCTTGAGATCGATCTGATCTGCTCGGAGAAAGCCATTTTTGATATGGTCGTCGTTTCCCGCCATCTCTGGGTGCAAAATGGTGGAGAAATGTGTGAGTGAAAAAGGAATGGTGGGAAGACCAACTACTTTCTTTGCAGTTTGGGTGGTTTTGCCTCAAAAGATATAATAAAAGAGGGTAAAGGCATAAGCATGCACATCAATGGGATGTAGACACGTGTCCAAATACCCGGGGTCTTTAGATTTTGAATATTTTTTATATTTAAAACAAAATTTTCTTCTATTAACCTGCATAAGCAGCCCGCTCTATGAGCCGACTAATTTTAATACGACCATCTATTTTGTAGATAGTCCAGAGTCATCGTATTTGAACTTCCGTGGCCACAATGAAATTTTTATTTATCCTTGGATTTGAACCTGAGACATCCCCACACTTTTGACATGTGGAGCTCAAGTTCAAACCAATCACGCACTACCCTTGTGATTTAAAACAAACTTTCTAGAACGGATAAAGAGACATTTTCAGGTATATAATCTTAAATGAGATTTTAATTAAATCTACGATTTTTTTATGAGTATAAAGTCATTATTTCTTATATAGATGAGAAGGTCATGAATAAGGGTGTTCAAAATACCGACCAACTCAATCCAAAGAAACCCACAAAAAATTCAACTCGAGGTAACACGACACATAGTTGATACAAAATTAAGTCGTATCACATTTATTAGGTTGGAATTGGGTTAGGATCATTTGAACTTAACCCAATCCGGAGTCTTTCTATATTATGGATTTATTATGATTCTTAAGTCCTTAATTAGTGATTGCACTATATTAGTTCTATTCAAATTTATTTTACAATTTCAACGGTAATTTTACTATTTTATTTATATGAACCTTTAACATTCTTTTTTGAGTTTATTAATCTTTTTTGTTTGTTATCATTTTGATTTCACTTGGTTTAACACAAACATTTAACTAGATTGTAAAACGATGTACCAAAGTTTCAACCCGATCAATCTAACCAACCCAACCAAATCCACATGGTTTGGGTTGGTTGAGTTGTAGTTTTTATTGGGTTGGTTTGAGATTTTTCAAACCACAAACATTGAGTTGGGTTGGGTTGTTGTAATGTCTTCCATTCGACCAACCCAACCCATTTACAGCCCTAATCATGAATTTAGTTTTTAAAAAATCATTTAAGATCATTTCTCTAAATGACCCAACAAATGAAACGATTTATAGACAATTTCAAATTAAAGGTGTTTATAAATTAAATATTTGATATTTATTATAAATACATAATAACTATTGATGTTAAAAATACATGAAGAGATTCTTATAAAAACTACCATTATAAATTTCTATATAGATTTTTAATTTGATGAATTGGAATTGATGCAACGATAAAAAGTACTAAAAGTAGGTTCGTTTAAAAACCTTCATAAAAAATGCTCTTAATTATTTTAACAAATTTTTTAATTTTTAATTTTTTTATCAAAATAGAAGAAAAAAAATAAAAAAAAATTTAAAATTGAAAATTCTATAAAAATAAATGTTGAAAAGAAAGAAATTGCTTTCTTATTATTGCTACTAATCAAATGGAATGTATTAATATTTAGTATACAATTCATTTAAAATTTTTGTTGGAATGTTAAAGTTACATTTGATAAACTAGTTGAGAGGGATTTTGTTCTAGTGGTATGTGAGTCATTGACAACCTAGGAAATCAAGAATTCAAATATCACCAAATGTGAGAAGGGTGTGTGAATTTATTGGTTCTATTTGTCGTATATAGACATTATATACTTTAAAAAAAACTAGCTGATAATTAATAAAATAGCTCATAAACTAATTATATTTGATAAAAACCAACTGATAAATTATTTGAAAATTGCAAAATGACCAAAAGGAAAGTGATAAAAAATTAGTCAATTACAATATTTTACAATATATTTAAACCAAATCATTAATAATATAATATATATTAATTAATACAAACTAGATGGTAAAAAAATAATTTATTAAAAAAATACAAGTTAATTTAAATACTTTATTAAAACATTTATCAAAAATAACAAACGAAATATAATTTTGTTTTTAAAATTGTTATATTTGCTATTTAACAACCACATATATTGAAAAATAATAAAAGTAATAATATAAAAAATTGATAAGATTAATAATAATTCTAATTAATTAATTTAATTAATATTAATGAATAAATAGCAATTAATAATTCAAATATGCACACATCTTGCTCTCTGCAGACCCCACCTCTGAGTGTGATATACTGAGATTATTTGATTTTTAACAGTAACACAAGCTTACATTTCTTTCGTGTGCATGTTTTTCTCTCTTTCGCACATTTTCTATAAGTCGGAGGTATCTAGGGAAAGAATCACTTTACTTTTTGAGTCAGAGATCGATCAAGTATGCATAGATCTTACTCTTCCAAGACCCCACCTCCGAGTGGAATATTACAGGGAATCGTTTCGTTTGGTTTTTACGGTCAATACGAGCTTATATTTATCTTCCCTAAATTTAAATGTACTTGTTTTTCTCTCTTTCACACATTTTTCACAAGTAGAAAGTCTCTACGGAAACAACCACTCTAGTTTCTGAGATAAAGATCAGGTTTGCATACATCTTACTTTCCCCAGACCCCACCTCTAGGTAGAATATACCAGGGTCGTTTTGTTTGGTTTGGTTTTTACATCCAACACTGTCTTATGTCGTCACAACAATAATGCTATGAAAAAAGATGTATCAAAATGGTATTTCGATTGATATCCATCTGATTCAACATATCAATAATAGCTAAATCAGTGTCCAAAGCCCTCAAGATATGTAGCGAAAAATCTCATCTACCCCTGGTTCGTTTCCAAGCGTTGCCAAAGCCTTTGTGGCCATGAAAGTTCACCTGTAGTGACTGCAGACAATTCGTGGTCGCCTAGGGTGCTAGTCATTGTGTGTAAGCCGCCTCGGAAACCCACGGTTACCCCAAAAAATTGTACAACAAACACATTTTCATTCAAAATGTCACAAGTCCAAAGACACCCATATCATCATTATAAGAGTTGTAGTTCTTGGAAATTATTTGGAAACAAGATATCAAAACAACTCACAGAGACAACCTCACCTTCATATGTTGTAGGCCATGTTATAGTGGTGTTGCAAATCCTGTAATATAAACAAAAACACAACTTAAATCATGTCAATTGATCACCAAGAAAATAATATCAAAAAACACATTTAATTAATTCGTTTAAACATATCTCTTACAGACTGTGTTGTACGAAGAAACTCAAATAAGTTATTGTTTATGTACAATATTAAAACACGTAAATTACAGTTATATATGACCACCATGTCGTTGATTTAGTTTACACTGAAACTAGGATTTCTCACACACTGATATAATAAATTATGGGATCTAATTCGGGCTACCGCATCCTTGTACATCTAGATCAAGAAAATGCGTTTTCTGTGTTACTAATAATTGGAATAGAGGATACCAGAACAAGCAAAGAAGGTGCATAACTGATGAATTGTGCAAAAAAGTGGGATATCCCCAGAACCGGATCCGAGACTTGGTTATACGGGGAATCTCAGTCCCCGACTGGGTCATGAACCGCGTATCCGCTGGTACCCATATTTGTGAGGAAGTGGTTATTATACAGTTCGCAAGACGATTTGTCATTCTTTCTCTGTCTGAATCCGCACTATAAAGAAATGAGCTTGTTTGCTTTTGATGTACTAACAGATTAATGGATTACATTAAAAGAAGTCCTAGCTGCAAGATCCCACATTGGTTGGGGAGAGGAACGAAAATTGCCTTATAACGTCAGACGTGTTTTAAAGCCATAGAGTGTGAGCAAACAGGTAGCAGGAATAAAGATTTAAACCACGGAGGTAAACAAATGGAAGTCGAAAGCCTAATGCTAAAGCATTACATTAGTAATCTCGTTACTAACCATGTATAATTTGGGGGAAGGATGAATTAAACCTTCGTCTTCAACGAAGATCAAATCTACATACCTAGGCCAATTTGTTTGGTGATCGGTTGAGGTTTATGATTCTCACATGTGATTTTAGGAGCGTTTTATACGTGAACATGGCAGAACAAAAGCTTGATGCCCCACTTAGCGCAACATTAGACTAGGACAGGATGAGACTGAGCGGGACAAAAATGCATTATTTTTGTCTCACCAAAATAGGTGGAACAAAAATCAAGGAGATTTTTACAAGATTGGATAATTACTAAATCACCCACGTCAAACCTTAAAACCTTCCATAATTCTTTCACCCGCCTACCTCACTCTTGCCCAGCAACCTCCGTCCAATCTGATCCACGTACCAAACGCACCCTAAAGGACAATATATAATGCAGACACTGCATATGCTCAGGGCCCGTTAAGGTCTTAAAGAGAGAGCACAACGATTTTTATCATAAAATTGCACATAAAAGGTACTAATCGATTATTTACACTATAAGGATTGTCAAGATTAATGTGAATTCAAAACCAACACTAGAGCACATTAGCACAAAACCAACCAGGAAGATCATAAAATTTTGCAACACTTCACACATCGATAATATATCATACTCTCTCCGTCCCAAAATAAACGTCCACAACAAAAATGACACAGAAGTTATATAAGTTTGTAATTATTACACGTTTTAATTAACTAAATGCAATTTTATCCTTAATAACGGAGGGCATAATGAACTTATCCATCTCATATTAAGGGTAGAATCGGAAAGTAAGCATTTAGGAGCCGTTTACCAAGCGCTTACCTGGTAAGTGCTTACCAGGACACTTGCCTTCCCAGGTGAGCATGGCAAGAACCGAGAATCATCCTGGTAAGAGGCAAGACAAGGATCGAGAGTCTTGCACGGTAAGTGAAGGTGGTGACTCTCATCTGGTAAGCGCTTACCGGTTGATAAACGCTTACCAACAACCCACTTTGATGACCGGAAATGTTACCCAATAAGGTAAGCAAACATGGTGACCCTTGACTGTAAGCATTTGATAAACAACTCCTTACTTTGAACAGTGGACGTTTATTTTATGACACACTAAAACAGAAACGTAGACACTTGTTTTAGGACAGAAAAAGTATAAATTAACATCAACATGGAACCAGTGAGCATACATCTTATGAACCTACATGAACCAAGTGGAATAACAGTACATAATAACATAGAATTGCTGAAAGAAAAGGGGAATAACACGATAAATTGAGTAAATGATTTCCAACTCGAAATAGAAAAACAAGTTCAGGAGATGCACCTTCAGATATTGAACTCCACTGGCCAACCTTGGAAGACAACATTGAGTTAAGCAATGCTGAAGCGGTTACGGAATGAAGAGGCATCAGAGACTGCATACCACCCAATTCCACCGGAAACCTATGATACAAACACCACATAACTAAATCCAAACTCCGATTCCTAAATTGGTAACTTAATCACAGTTCAAACTTCCAAAATCGTAGGGTTTTTCAGGTGGTTGGTAAGCTTGACGATACTGTCAAATTCTTTTAGTTGGTGAAACGGAAGAGGTATAAAAATTGACTTGAAATTACCCGATCGTAACCAGATTGTCACCCTAATGATAAATTCAAATAGGATTCTATAACTGAGCATGTTATAGCATAATCAAATCGCTGAATTCGAATACAAATGTATATATTTTTTGTTTACAGATTGAATAAAAGAGGTGTGACAGTAGAAATGAACCTGGATAAGAGGCGAGGGTTCCGGCGACCGGAGATGCTAGAGAAAGCTTTGGAAGACTCCGGTGACAATCCAGTTGTATTGGATTGAAATTGAGGTTTACGACTGGAGGCGAGGAACGACCTAACTCGCTGAAAAACCTGTTTCCCTGAACTGGACGCCATTGTTGGTTACAGTCGCAGAGCTTCTTGTGTTCAAAATCAACGTCTTTAAACCCTAACGGTGAGGCGGGCAAAATTCTTCACGGGTTAAAAACCCATGGGCCCATACCCGGTTGAGTTATTCCGGGTTTAAATATATAAAATATTTTTTTTAAGAATTAATTATAATTTTCTTTTTGTTAAAAAAATTGGTTTTTCATATCTCAGCTTCGTTTATTATATATATATTTTTAGGTGTTTATATTTTATTTTTTGTCAGGTAATATTTCATATGTAAATGTAACCGAACATTAAGTGACGTTTGTTTTTTAAGAGGTACTGAAGTGTGAAATATGATTTTACTTCTGATTAATAAGAGGTGGTGCTGAAGTCTGAAATTTGAATCAATAAGACTGTTTGTTTTTGTAAACTGATTATTGTTTAAATTGTCTATTTTACCGATTAAAAAATTATAATGTTGAATTTATAGATAAATTTATATAATTTCACATATTTATTCATCATCATTAAGAAATTTGTATTCAAATCATGTAATTGGCATTCATTTAAATGAAAATATGTCATCAACGGTATTTGACACATTTAAATCCTATTAAAATGCACCAATTGAGAGACGTGAGGATCAATGTGGTAATGATCAATTGAGATAAATGATCGATTAAGGTAAATCGATTGAGAAACATCATTGCTAAAGGTTTCGAGAACAATAAGAGGCAAATAAGATGTTGGTTTACCTCTTACCAGATAAGAGGACAATAAGATATAAGTGTCTCTAAAAATTAAAAAAATTAAACAGTCTAAAAAAATAGGTTTTATTTTTCTAGGTAATTTTGGTAAAATATAGGTTTGTTTTACCTTGTTCCCTGGGGTAGAGGTGGAATCCAGTTGTTCCACATAAGAGTCTTTCCAAACGTGGAACATTGATTTATATTCTGTTTTTTTTCTGCCTTGTCCAGTGTACAAAATACACCTTCTTATGAAGTCATATCCCCCCCCCCCCTTGAACGAAATATAAAAACCACTTATGCCCTTGACTAGAGTTGTTCATGGACAGGACGACCCATTAGACTCAGCCTATCTGGCCTGCTAGAAATATGAGTTTGGACAACCATTATCGAGAAAATAGACAGACCCGGTTTTGTTTGTTAAAATTAATGGGCGGATATGACAATGTAAAAACAAATATGGACAGGTTCGTCCGGCCCGTTTATGTTTTATAATTAATATTTTTTACCGTTAATTAAAATTATATCAATATATTTTAAAATTAAATTATTAAAGTTATATGATGGAGTTGGGACTCTTTGTTTTTTCTTGAAAACCCAAAAAGCTCTACATTATCTTTGTTAACATCCTTATGTCAAAAGTCCTAATCGATCAACAATGGATAAAGTCAATAGCTGCTTAAAGTTTTAATTTGATGTTTTTCCTTTACTTTTTGGCTTCATATTTGTTAATTAAGAGTTGCACTTTTTAGGCACATTAGCCTATGGGCAAGCTCGGCCCATTTATAGGGTAGGCAATGACAAGTTGTCAAACCCGAAAGAAGGGTTTGGATTTATAATACTAGGTCCGTTGGACAAAAAATTAGGTCCGAAGTCCTATTTGAAAAACAATTAACCGAAATGGCTGTAAGTGACACACAAGACACTTAACAGGAGCGGTTGCATATATCTGCATTTAAGATTCCACTACTCAGTCTAAATTGTCTCAAAGGAAAAGGGTAATTCTTTATGAAATTGTATTAGTTTTAAATCCAGTCCCACCGAGTCACCCACCTTACACTCTTACACTAAGATACCGCAATGTACTTCCTCCACAATGCTCGTCATATCAATATGGTATTTGAAGAGACGATTCAACGACGAACTGAGGAAAAACCACACTTGTCCAACCGTTTTTAATTTCTCGACATGGTTGGCTCAAAGACGCTAATTCATCATCATTGCCATGGTCAATGTTGGCCATGGTTAAGATTTAGAGGGATTTAGTGAAAATCCCATCTTCATCGGATTTGAATCTACACACTGCCAAAGCACTTGTTGCTATGGAGGTTCACCCACGATGAATCCATGTCATCCATGGTCGCAAAGGGATTAGTTGGAACCACAAGGGTGGTGCCTGATTGGTTTGAGTTTAAGCTCCAAAAGTTAAAAGTGTCTAGAGGTCCCATGTTCAAATCCGAAGAGGAATAAAAATCCCCTTGTGGCCACAGAGGTTCAAATGCGGTGACTCCGGACTATCTGCAAAGCAGATGATCGTCTTGGGATTAGTTGGTGCACATAAGCTATCTCGAAAACTCGTGGTCACCCAAAATTTTTTTTTGGCTCGTATTAGAATCCAAGTGAAAACAAACAAAAATTTATCTTTTGAATCAGTTTCAGTTCATCAGAAGTCTACGACACTGATAAGATGGTTGACGAAATCATTGTTACGATGCAAACTTGGAGTCATCGACAAAACATCAACGAATAAAACCAATCATGTCGATAACGAAACAACGTTGAATACAATGTTAATGAAGAGAGTTTGTTGAAACCTTTGAGTTTGTAAATTATTTATAAGGAGAAGGGTGTAAAGCGTAAATTCGGACCTCATGAAACTTTACTCTTTCAACAAGCATAGATTTTGGCCCCCTGCAAATTATCTGGGTTCTTCTCTCAAAAAGTTATGACGCGCCCAATCGAAGCCGAAGATTACTGGAATGGACCAGGTTTGTAGATTGTCATGTAGTTGTACGAATTTTGGATAGATTTGGGCAAGATCCTCTCGATTTGATTGAAGTGAAACGTTTAATTTCATGATGGAAAGAGAATTGAAACAGAAACGGCAAGTTGATGTTGATTCTCCGGCGATTTCTTCTTCCGGACATCTTCGAGATCGGAGATCACAGCCTTCTCCGCCGGCTAGATCAGCTGAAGATTCTCCGCTGTCAACCATGTCGCCTCTGTCATCTCTCAGTCATGGATTTTCTCCAGAAAGGGATGAAGTAGAGCCAGAGTCAGAAGCAGGAGTAGAAGCTTCGCAGGGATCGCCTCCTTTATATCCGTTGCCGGATTTGTCGGCAGTTAGGGTGACGTCGCCGGCGCCTGTGCCGACGGTGAACCGGTACGTCCGAGACGAGACTATGTCAATTAAGAAAACGGATCACGGCGCCAAAGACGGATACGTTGGAAGGCCAGTGGAGGAAGCTCAAACAGGCGGTGGCGGCCAAGGGAGGCGGTGGAGGCCATCCGTGGGGAGCGTTAGGAGGACGGACAAAGAAGGTTCGATGAAGAAGATAGCGTTAGGGTTTAGGATATTCGAATTGCTCTTCTGTTTGGTATCGTTGTCTGTGATGGCCACTGATAAGCGCCAGGGATGGGCTCTCGACTCATTCTATCGTTACAAGGAGTTCCGGTGATTCTCTCTTTTCTCCGGCCACCGTTAAACCTATTTCAATCACATTTCCATATTACAACCAGATGTTTCCCGATGAAAACCATCTCTGATAACCATGGCGGATCTGCAGGTACTCCATGGCAGTGAATGTGGTCGGATTTGCATACGCTGTGCTACAAGGATTTGATCTGGCATATCAATTGGCCACCGGAAATCATTACAACAGACGCCATACTCTCCGGTACTACTTTGATTTCGCCATGGATCAGGCAAGTGTTCGGATTTGATCCCCTTTTTTGTGAATAAACCCCTTCAATTCAAGTTTACTTGGTTGAGCAGCAATCGTTGGAGTGATTAGAATTCAAAATCCTTTGTCCTTTTGATAGAAAATTGTGTTGCTTACCAATTGCATATGCACTTAGCTTAGCTTAGGAGTAAACATTTGATTAATAATACATAATACAAGCTCCTAGATTCACATATGCATAATCTCATTGTACAGTGAATCAATTAAATTGTTGTAAACAAGCCATTTTCACCTTAATTCCAAAGATCAGTTCAGTCGTTTGAAGCAAAGCAAAACCCATATTTTCGCATTCATGGTTCTTTGAGTGAATGGTTCATCATTGTGGGTTATTTTACTTTGGGCAAAATGCATCAAAGTTTAATGAAGTTTGCTTAAGTTTCTATTTAGACTTTAGTGTAACTATAATTTTTTCTTAACGAGTGTAACAAATGTCCAATTCTTCTTATTTGCACTCATTTTTACCCAATAAACGAATTTTGGTCTGACATTCTTTTATGTATTTCAATATAACTTGACAAGTTGGCATTCTCGTCATCGATAATTACAAGATCTATCCGTTGTCGCTTAGAATAGGTACAGAATAGGAAAAATTGTTCGAATCAAACCATTGCCATCTAATTGTTAAAATCATAAACCACAATGACCAAAATATGGGGTTTACCCGTAAATTTGATTTGAGTTTCTACGATGGTTATATTCCATGTTTTCTCTTAATTCTAGACTTCAACTTTATCAGCATTTTGAGGTAATGAGTTCAGTTTCATGAACGACTACTCAAGAACTACCATTGTAGTTCCACCATTCAATGTTTCTGAGGTGTGCATTGCCTGAACTATGTTTCTGAGGTGTTTCTAAACGGCATACATATTACCTTACCCGGACCCCACCTTTGGGTGGGAGGTTAGTTTTATTTTGTTTTGGTGTTAGCTTTGCATACATCTTACGTTACCTAGAACCCATCTTCGGGGGGATATACTTGTTAGACCAACTTCAGTGACCGTGAGTTTATAGTTAGACTTAGGCCCAAGGCCTTGTATTTTATCATTGTATTTGTTACTAGGTATAGCCCATTACTTTGTATATATATTTGCTAAATGAATACAGATCAACTCATGGGAAAATAAACACTATTATGGTATCAGAGTGTACTAACAAACCTCCCTTCTTTCTCTCCTAGTTTCAAAATTCGAATTTTGAAACCCCTCTTCGCCTCCCTTCGGCAGCCAACTTTCGGCAGCCTGTGCTCTCCAGCGACCTTCCTACTCTCCTTTTCTTCTTCACTCCTCATTCCTCTGCTATGTCGACTTCCGGTACAACCCAAAACCAAACCAGTTCTACCGAAAAACCTTTCGGTATTACGAATATTAAGGCATACATACCATTAACTCTTGAYCTCACAGAGTTGAATTACGATGCCTGGCGGATTCTCTTTGAAACTCATTGTTTCAGCTTCGGCGTTCTCAGTCACATTCGTGACCCTCCCCCCACTACCCCRGATAATGACTGGCGTCGCCTCGACTCCTTAGTCACTCTCTGGATCTATGGCACCATCAGTAAGCAACTGCTCACCATGGTGATCAAAGGAGACTCTACCGCTCGAACTATCTGGCGGTCCCTGGAAAATCTATTCCGCGATAACAAAGACGCACGGGCCATGCAACTCGACACCGATCWCCGCAACATTGTTATTGGTGATCTCTCAGTCACCGACTATTGTCAGAAAATCAAAAACATTTATGACCTCCTCTCAAACATTGAGCAACCCGTACCGGACCGCAACCTTGTCATGTATCTCGTTAACGGTTTAAACGAGAAATACGACCACATTGCCACGGTTATCCGTCATCAGAAACCCCTTCCCACATTCTTGGAAGCTCGATCGATGTTGCTTTTGGAAGAGTCTCGGCTTGCCCGTTTTCGCCCAATCCCTGTTCCTCCTCCAGCTAATCCTACCCCAAGCACCGTTCTCTACTCTTCCGAGTCTTCTCAGCGGGGAAACAATACCACACGTGGTGGCCGGCAGCAGTCAAACCGCAACAGTCGCGGTGGACGTGGCAGCCGTGGTGGCAGATCCGGCAACCATCAGCAGCGGCAGCAGCCACAATGGGGTCCTCCACCGCCGTGGGCCACCTATCCATGGGCTCCTCCCCCTTGGTGGCCACAAAATCCAGCGGCATGGCCTCAACCGAAGCAAGCAGCCACCATCTCTCAACAACAAGGGYAGCAGCCGGCTCTTCTTGCCACGCCATCCGAGTGGGCTTGGCCCACCCCTGATTCTGCCATGCCAACACAGCTTCCACAAGCTTTCGCTACGATGAACTTAAATGAACCGAACGATGGTGACTGGTTCATGGACACCGGGGCCTCATCACATCTCGCGGCGGATACAGGTAGCCTTACTTCCATTTCTAATAAAAACATTAACTCATGTATCATGGTTGGTGACGGGAACTCCATTCCCGTGGTCAATTCGGGCACTGCTCACATACCTTCCTACATCCGTCCATTACATCTTAACCATGTTCTTGTCACTCCCAAGATAATTAAAAACCTAATTTCTGTCCGTCGGTTCACCCGGGACAACAAATGTTCCATTGAATTTGATCCTTGTGGCTTTTCTGTGAAGGATCTCAAGACCAAGCACCTGCTCCTCCGATGTGACAGCACCGGTGACTTRTATCCCGTCCACAAGATCTCTAYACCACCCGTTGCACTTCTCACTTCCTCTCCGGACACGTGGCATCAACGTCTCGGTCATCCCGGACCGGAAGTTTTGCGTCTTTTAAATTCTAGTGGTTTTATAAATTGTAATCATGTCAAGTTAACTATGTGCCATGCATGTCAACTTGGCAAGAATTCGTGTCTTCCGTTTTCCAATTCAAAAACTATTGTTAATTCCATGTTTGATTTAGTGCATTCGGACTTGTGGACATCTCCTATTCCAAGTGTCTCTGGTTTTAAATACTATCTTGTTTCTAGACCACTATACGCATTATCTTTGGGTTTATCCTTTAAAACGAAAAACCGACGCAATTTCAAAAATAATACAATTTCGTGTAATGGTAAAAACCCAATTTAACAAGACCATCAAAGCCTTCCAATGTGATCATGGAGGTGAATTTGACAACTCCGTTGTTCAAACTCTCTTCCAATCACACGGCATCCAACTTCGTTTCTCGTGTCCGAAAACTTCCCAACAAAATGGTAAATCCGAAAGAATGATTCGAACAATAAATAACTTTGTTCGCACTCTCTTATTTCAAGCCCACCGGTTTTTGTGTTTTCTTGGGAGAAAATCTCATTTCTTGGTCATCGAAACGGCAACGCACTGTTTCTCATTCTAGCGCGGAAGCCGAATACAGAGGAGTAGCCAACACCGTTGCCGAAACTTCTTGGATACGCAATCTTCTTACGGAACTACATGTCCACGTGCCATATGCGACGATTATTTATTGCGACAATGTGAGTGCCACCTACTTGGCACACAATCCAGTTCAACATCAACGGACTAAACATGTTGAACTTGACATCCATTTTGTACGAGAAAAAGTTGCCGTCGGTCAAGTGAAAGTCCTTCATGTTCCATCTCGGTATCAGTACGCGGATATCTTTACGAAARGCTTACCGACTTCGCTCTTCATAGATTTTMGAAACAGTTTGAGTGTTCATTACAACCAYGCTCAAACTGTGGGGGGATGTTAGACCAACTTCAGTGACCGTGAGTTTATAGTTAGACTTAGGCCCAAGGCCTTGTATTTTATCATTGTATTTGTTACTGGGTATAGCCCATTACTTTGTATATATATTTGCTAAATGAATACAGATCAATTCATGGGAAAATAAACACTATTAATACTGTGTTCGTTTGGTTTTAGTTCTAAACTCCATGTGAAAATTGGTAAAACTTCAGATGCTGACATACCTTCTAATATCATCGGGATCATCGGCCGCCACCAGAGTGGATGACTGGAAGTCAAACTGGGGTGCAGACAAATTCCCGGAGTTGGCTACTGCTTCTGTCGGTTTGGGTTTCGTGGCTTTCGTCGCCTTCGCCTTCAGCTCTGTCATCTCAGGTTATTTGCTTTACGCTTCAACATCTTCTTGATTCTCGATTATTACTCCTTAAATTTTGTGATATATGATCTTTACAAGAGCTGTAAAAACCATTGTAAGCAACAATATGTTCTTGTTTCATGTACATAGATTTGTATGATGCCACTAAATAGGCTTTTATGGTGTTCTTGAGGTCGACCTCGAATCCTAGACTATGGATTGTTAAATGAATATTTATATAAGCGTGATGCACACGGCACATCTATGGATAGACGATAGAAGTTTTAAGTCATGGTTTAATCACCTTTTTTTCTTCGTCCAATAGTTGTGCTTTCTGTATCTTTAACTTTTTTCTTGAAAGTCTGATGTTCTTTCTCTTAAACCAGAGGTAAGGTTAGTGTTATGGGTGCTAAAAAACCCGACCAACCCAACCCGAAAAACCCAAAAAATTCAATCCAAGGTAACCTGACACATAGTTGGTACTGAACTGGCCCAAACCGCATCTATTGGGTTGGAGTTGGGTCAGGGACGTATTTTTTCCTTTACGACGTAACCATGAAATGGTGGCAAAAGTCACCGTATGCCCCTATGTAGGTCCCCTTGTGATTATAAGCAAATGGTGTGTTATTTGTTCATCGTGTAGCTTCAAATTCTTAGACGGAAGTCTTATTAAGAAATAGTTTGACCCGCACTTGATTTGATTTTAGCAAATTTTAGTACTTGTAGAACTCCATCAGATTACTCTTTACAAAGGCCCTTTAGGTGAGAAGGGAAGTCCCAACATATATTGAAGAGAAATGGTCTAAGTCTAGCCCAACGTACGTGTCTCCTGTACCATCTTCGTAAGGGAGCATTCTTTAGCAAATGAAGATGCTTTTATTCATATTCAACGTACATAGCATACCACTTACAACTCTTAAGAAACAGTAGCTACACGTTTAGTGAAAGCCCGATCTTATAGGCATATACCACATATTATTCATAGGGTTTGGGTTCTTGTGAGACCAATGAGACCAGCTGTGAAGACACAAAAACACTCTGAACCTTTACAACAAACATTGTGAAGGTACCAAAACGAAACTTGCCGGTGTTTTTTCTCTGAAGGTTCTGCATTTTTTTGTACATTCACAATGTTCGTTTGTGAGGTTCAGTTTTATTTTGTGGTCTCATTACACAGACCGGTCTCATACACTACAACAAAATTGATTTTATAGGACGCCTAAAATGTAGAAGTGTCCTAAAAAAAACTTTATCGGACTTAAGTTTATAGGACCAAACCAAAAAACATCATATCTAAAAGGGTTACAATAAATTTATAAGACGCTTGTAGGCGTTTTAACAAGTTTTTAGGATACTCTTAAAATGAAGTGGTTGTATTAACTATTTTATACGACACTATTTGAAAAAGTGCTCTGTAAAGACAAATATCCTATAAAAAGATGGGTTTACAGGACACGTCTCAAAAGTGTCTAAAATAGCATAAGATGTTTTATTTTACAAGCGTCCTAAAAAGCTTGTTAAAACGCCTAAAAACGTCCTATAAACCTATTATAACGATTTTAGATATGACACTTTATAGTTTGGTCCTATAAACCTAAGTCCTATAAAACCATTTTGCTGTAGTGGCGTGATCCCATGTCTAGATGCATAATCTCCATGCTTATTCCATTTATAATTACTTACTTCTCTAATCAATTTAGCCATTGTCTTCACTCTTTGCCATCTAAGCACCAACAATAGTAATCAGACCTTGAGATTGCCATTAGTTCTTCAGGACTCATCCTCTCAAGCTCCCCTTGCCTCCATGAACCAAAGTTGTTCTTGTTTTGAGAGTCGGTAGCGAGAGGATAGTCCTCGTAGTTCTGATGAGCTTGGGATCGCATTCTTCTGTAAAGTCTCATCGTTGCAACACAATCATCATACGGATCTTGTATCCCGTTTTGAATCTCGTAGCTGTAAAAGAAGAGATTTGTTGTTAAGCTATGGATCTTTGTCAAAACTTAGCGTACGCGTGCTCAAAAAAAAGTTTGAAAGCAAGTCAAATTGGACCGTTTTTGACGATTTGAGTGGTCTGGTCTAGTTTGTAGTTTGAATGTTTTTATGAGCGGTTTGGGCTGAACCGGCCGCCAATATACACACGTGTATATTTAGTTTTCATGTTATAGGCTCAACTTTTATGGCCCAGTTAAAAGAAGTCCGTCCATGACATGAAGTTTTTAGAGATAGATGTTTCTTTTATAATTTGGTATAATGCTTTTTTAATAATGTTATATCGGTTGAAATTCTATTTTTTTAGTTTAAATCCCATAGTAGGCTCAAACCGCCTAAACCGGTCAGACTAGACCTCTATTTATAGTCTAGTTTGACCGGTTTGGTCATTTGCAGCCAAACCGTTCGGTTCAGAAAATTTACTAAAACGCCATTTTAATTTGGTGTGTGGGTCGGGGGGTTAAACCGCCCAAACCCGACCACGAACACCTCTATTTTTTTTAGCATATTTGTCTTCTCTATTTATTTTTCTATTCGTAGTGTTGTTTCTACTCGTATCTAACTTTTTAATGTTTAGCGTATTTGTTTTTCTCCTTTCTCACACTTCGCACTCGTCGGGATCTTTAGGGAAAGAACAGTTTTACTCTTTAGGGCAGGGATCATTTTTGCGTATATCTGACACCCCACCTCCTGTTGTGATTTACTAGGCTCGTTTTGTTTGGTTTATTAAAATCTTTTAAAGGCTATTACCCGAGGTACGATTTCGTAAGGTGCTTGAGTGAGTTGCTGAGCTTGCTAGTCTTCATTAAGGGTGGATATTTTGCTGTATCCCTGTAAAATAATGAAGTTAGTTAAAGCTAATTTCTTGACCTTGCCGGAATATAAATAACGACGTTTTTCTGGCGGATTTCCGGTGGCACTCATCGGAGGTTGATTTTTTTGTTGTCCGCCGGAAATATCCAGTTTTCTAGCAGTGACTCCAACTGTCTCAAAATAAGTCTCCATTTTTTAAAGCAAGTGTCAAATTTTTAATTCCAACCTTACTATGAGATGGAGAATTTATTACTCGTTCTGTTATTTAAGGGTGAAATTGTCATTTAGTTAATTAAAAAGTTTCATAGGAACAAGTCCATTTAGGAACCTTAAATATTTTAGAAACCCGAGAACAATATACTTTATATGTATTCATGATATTATTCATCATGAATGCTTACAAAAATAATGGTTCCCGGTTTCTTAAATGAACCTCCCTCAAGGGTAATAATTACAAATTTCTAAAATTGTACGTCTTTTCACTGTAGACATTTATTTTGGGACAAAAGGAGTAATTAAATTATATATCCGTTGATGATATTAAGGTACTTGCCTTATTTTCACAAGAGGATACTCTAGTTCCAAGCATTTCATCTCATGATCCAAACCATGGCCTATAAGAATCCTCGCTCTCTCGCCTCTCGGGCGGATCTTCCATATCGGTTCCCCATTGCATAAGAAATCTTGGATTTTTCTTTGAACCTGTCTCACTGGCATTGCATCCCGGAGGTATTCGGGTCGAATGCCAGTTGTTTCGTACCTGGGAATTTTTTCCGGGCTTGCTTATATAACGCTATATGAAGGGAGTTTCTTGAGGAAACTTGTTGTGTATGTATATATACTCGGGTTCAGGGGAAAACCACAACAAATGAAAACTGATGATCATTCTAATAACTATTCATTTGAGTCTATATATATATTTAGTTGCACCCATGCTTACGGGTCCTCAAACGAATACAAATCATTTGACCCCAAGTCCCCTTTTTGTCCCATCAATCAAGTCCTGACATATGATTACTTTATTTAAGGGAAATTCAGTAAATAGTTAATTTCCCCGTTCAAATTCACTTTTTAACCACTTTTTTAGTTGAATTCTCATTTTAGCTAAAAGACATTTGCGTAAACTCGATTTTCAGATTAAAAAAAGAGAGAATAAATTCTTTACGCAAATTTGCATAAAGATTTAGATTTTTGTGTAAGGATCCCATTTGCATAAAGATCTTCCTTTCTTTTTTTATAATCTCAAAACAGGTTTTATGCAACAGACTCGGGCTAAAATGGGAATTTGGTTCCAAAAATGCTAAAAAAGTGAAGTTGGTTGTAGGGAGCGGCTATTTTGGTCAATTTCCCTTATTCTCACTCTTCAGTAGAGTGATGAGATGTCGAGTGTTTGATTGATGGACAGGGAGGTGACATGTGATTTGTACTCCTTGAAACCTATAGGAAAAGATGCGTACCTGTAGTTTGTAACAGGAAGTTGTGGCTTGACATAGGAATGAAATAGTATGTTCTCATATTCGTCGATGATGCATACTCGTGCACAAAGATCCAACGAACCATCGCTACCACCACCAACCATTTTGCCGGCAAGCGCAACTGCTCGTGTTTTCCCATCATCGATTCTCAGGTCGTCTTGAATGCCTAAGTTAGCAAATTGATGCAGAACACCCTGGAATGTAGATGGATGTAAATTGTATGTGTATAGATCTAACACTAGGGATAATGTGAGCCCAACATGTTTTCGTGAGACTTATGAGACCACAAAATAACACTAAATCTTCACAACTAAACATTGTGAAGGACCAAAAAAATATTGAACCTTCACAACAAAAATACTATAAAGGTACCTTCACAATGTTTTTGTTGTGAATGTCCAATGTGTTTTTGTACCTTCACAACTGGTTTTACGGGTCTAATGAAAACAAGTTTGTCTCACGAGAACCCTACCCGTAGATCCAAAGACAAATGTTTTTAAGTTTTGAGGAAATAATGTCTTACGTTACTTCCGCGCACTAGTTGACATCCATCTTGGTGAACTCTAAGAGCGTTTGGGCTACCAACGATAGATAGGCAAATGGTACATCCACGATCTCTAAACACCCTTTCACATTCGGCCTTTGGCAATGGTCCTGAGGAATCGATGAAGTAATTATTTCAAAACATTCATTTTGGTATCTCATGTATGATATGTCAAACATTTAGATCAAAATATGTTAACCATATTAAGAATTGGATCAAAGTACATTGCATTTTCAAGCAATTTTATCTAATCCAAACACACATATTTATAGAGGGTGGTTCAAATGAGAATAATAACCGAATAAGAACACTAAAACGGCCAATCACGTGCAAAGCCACATGTGATTTTACACCACAGTCAACACAAGGGTGCGACTTTGGCTGCGACTTTTAGTGTAAAATCATACGTGATTCGACAGTTTTCTTATCTCTTATTTGAATACAGTTCTTGTATGAACATGACTCTCTCTCTTTCTATATATATATACACACACACATACACAAAGTAATACGGGGAGCAGGTTCAATTGCAATTGTGAACCGCGGGACAAAGGAAAGCGCGCAACATGCAGACTTTCACATGATATTCATCAAGAATATTGAATGGTGTAACATTCATCCCGAATGTTGTAGAACATTCATGCTCATTGTTCATGATGAACTGGAACAAGTAGAGACACGTGTATGCTCTCCTTTGTCCCTTAGTTCATAATCAGAAATTGGTTTGCTATTGAATTTTCCTATATCTCTCTCTCTCACACACACACACACACATATATAGGGTTTCGATGAGAATACGAGTTACTGTGAGAAGGGTAAAAATGGATCTTCACCCTTGGATCAGTTCTAATTGAAAAGAACCACTAGATCAGTTCCCTTATAAAACGTAATTCTTGAGTTGTTTTGAGATTAAAAGTGATTAAGGCTCCAAACCCTTCTTATACTTCTCACTTTAACTTCTATTGTCACACGATTCTTCATATATATATATATACATATATATATGTATAATATGTGTATATATATAGGGTTGGGTTCACGTGAGGGACCAAACTGTTTTCGGAAACCCGTGAGACAACATTTTTACATTTGAAACTTCACAACAAAACACTGTGAAGGTAAAAAAAATCTGAATCTTCACAACAAAAACACCGTCACACCACTTTTTTTACACTTGAAACCTAATAGCAAAACACTGTGAAAAAAATGGTCTCACGGGTCTCACTAAAACATTCTGGTCTCCCAAATCTCTCTCTCTCTCTCTCTCTCTATATATATATATATATAGGAGCGATCAAATGCAAACCACTTAATTTGTACAAACCATGCAAACTTCATTCAACCAATCATAATTTTTCATTTTGTTTATTTTTTTGTAATTATGAAAGGTTGATTAATTATTTTTATTGTGGAGAGTGTTAATCATAGATATTATCATCTTCATTATTTTAATTTTACAAAAATACATGAAACAGTTTCATTAATTTTAGAGATTTACATGAAACAGTTTCATTAAGTATTATATGAAACAATTTCACAACCATATATGAAACAAATTTATCAAAAAAAGTATTATATGAAACAATTTCACAAGATTAAACAATTTCATGAAAAAAATTCATAAGATTAAACAATGAAATCGACGGATGAAGGTGG